AGGGAGGGTAGAGGGACAATTGTCTGGGCTTAGCTGCCTTACGGAGCTCCATATCAATGGTTGACCCTCAGGTGGCCAACTTGGTACCCAGGTAAGTGTCCCTGCCATTAACCTGGATGAAGACTCCGGGAGAAGGAAGGGGTTTTAGGAAGAAGATGCCACTTTGCACCCATGGCTGGTCATCCAGGAAGCGCCCATGCTTTAGTGGTGGGGTGTTGGTGGTGAAGAGCATGGCATGGTTAAGCCACAGCAGCCCTGTTCCTGTTCTGCAAGCTGGTCTGGCAGATCTTCTGTCCTCGGGCCCTGAATCCTCAGGAAGGAGGGACGCAGGATGAGCCTGCCAATCCTGGGCTCTCACTCACAGCTCACCCTTTCCACTGTCGCTCCCAGCACAAAGGGTTTCACCCAGTGGACTGCAACCCATCCTCATGGTCAGGAGTGAGAATGACCAAAGACAAGCTGCTCCGGGTCTTCATTCTGATTGTACTGAAGGTGACCTTGGGCATGTCCCGCAGTTACTTCAACCAGGGTATCAAAGCAAGAAGGCTTGAGGCTCCAGGAACAAGAAGAGCCTTTAAAAATTTTTTTTTAAAGATGGTACTGATGAACCTCTGGAGGAGGAAATAGCAACCCGCTCCAGTATTCCTGCCTGGAGAATTTCATGGACAGAGGAGCCTGACGGGCTACAGTCCATAGGGTCACAGAATTGGACATGACTGAGTGACTAACACATACACACACCCCTATCTGCAGGGCAGCAATGGAGATGCAGACATAAACAGACTTGTGGGCACAGCACAGGAAGGAGAGGATGGGGACGAATGGAGAGAGTAACAGGAAATATAAACACTACCAAATGTAAAACAGACAGCCAGTGGGAATTTGCTGTGACACAGGGAACTCAAACCAGGGCTCTGTGACAACCTAGAGCGGTGAGATGGGGCGGGAGATGGGAAGGAGACCCAGGAGGGAAGGGACATATGAATACTTATGGCTGATGCATGTTGATGTATGGCAGAAACCAACACAATATTGCAAATCAATTATCCTTCAATTAAAAATAAATTTAAATAAAACCTTTTTTGACTGCATGGGGTCTTTGTTGCAACACGTAGGCTTAGTTGCCCTGCAGGGTGTGGGATCTCACTTCCCCGAATAGGGATCAAACCCACATCCCTTGTATTGGAAGGCAAAACACTTAACCACTGGGCCACCAAGGAAATCTAAAGGCCTATGATTCTACAGCAAGCCACTGGTGGACCTCAAAGGCATTTCTCCAACCAGCCACTGAGGGTGTGGGAGGGGTCCCCAGGGCCACACCCTTCCTGCCCCGCCTTTCCCAACCAAAGACCCCAGTGCTGCAGGCGGCCTCGAGCTCCCAAACACTCACTGCAAGGTGGAAGGGCCCTCTCTGGACTCTGGATTTCCTCCTACGCGGAGGTTTGGAGAGGTCAGGCAGGGTAGGGCTCCGGCAGGGGGCAGCGTGGGGCTCATGCTCACTTGAAGGTTTCTGGAGAGGTGGCCATGGCCAGTTAAGACAGGGAAAGACACAGCCTGCTTCACAGGGATCTGTTCACTGGGCTGCCAGGTCCACTGCCTCCTGCACCCAGCTAGCCCCTTAGCAAGGGGAGTGGCCAGGCTGGCTAAGTTTCCTGCAGCACGTTTGTAAATAAGCAAAATTCTCCTGAGAATTATCTCTATTCTCCATGAAGGGCTAAGTACTGGGGTCATGAGAGAATGGGGATTCTCTGCTGGGGAATACAGGTCTGTTTTATTTTATTTTATTCCCCATTCAACAATAATGAAAATAAAAAGCAGGCAGTCACATCCATCCAGGATCATCCCCACTGCTGCTGCTGCTAAGTCACTCAGTCGTGTCTGACTCTTAGCGACCCCATGGACTGCGGCCTACCAGACTCCTCCGTCCATGGGATTTTCCAGGCAAGAGTACTAGAGTAGGGTGCCATTGCCTTCTCCCCCTACTAGCCAGCCTGGAAGTGCAAGAGACTATGGCTGGGGGCCTGGGGTTTGGGAAGGAGTCAAGTCTCACACCTTGTCCAGAGCATCTCAGGGCTGAGTGAAGTCACTGAAGGTCACTTGGAGGTGGGGAGGGACGTACTGAGCTTCTCTTTGGAAAAGGGCTCAGATGCAGCTCAAACTGCGGGTGATAGACAGGGCTTTGAGATAGAACAGGCAGGCGGGGGCCAGAGAGGGCTGCTCTCCCCACCCCAGCTTCAACTCCTCAGGTACATGGAGGAGAGGATGGGAAACTGGCCCGATTGAAGTTTGGAACCTCACACATTTGATATACCCACCAAGATGGTACCAATACTGAGTGCCAGTGCTTACTAGGCACCAGGTTACACATATAAGTGCAAGGATCCACCAGCTTGAAACAGGTTGAGCAAGGGAGGGATCAGCATTTGAAATCAAGGGCTCTTGCCTACAACCTAGCATGTTCCTAGTAGTGGTGGGGGACAGGGGACAGCATAGTCTGGGGTGGTGCTTCACAAAGTGGGGCTGATACTTCCTCCCTCACAGGTTAAATCTATGTAAAGATGGGTAATCTATGTAAAACACTTATCATAGTACCTGGCATTAAGTTACAGCTCAATACATGGTAGCTATTATTAGCCATTATTATAAGAAGCTGCAGAATAAACATGGCACATCTTCCTGGAGTGCTAATTTTACTCAACGATTAGGGAGGAAAGGACATTCTTATTATATTAAAACAAACACTGGCATAAGCTGGAGTAGAATGCAAAACTCACTTCGATTTTTGACATCAAACAAAGATCTGCCCTGCCCCTTCTACAGTCTTGCTCCCCCCGATCCTTGATGGATACAGAGACCCTGAAAGAATTCCCTGGCAGTTGGGACTCTGAGCTTTCACTGCCGAGAGCCAATGTTCAATCCCTGGCTGAGGAACTAACGTTCCGTAAGCCTAGTGGCCTGGCCAAAAAAAAGACAAGACCCTTAACTTGAGTCAGGAAACCTGGGTTCCAACCTGACTCTACCAGTTACTACCTTATTACCTTAAGGCACTGAATTCCTTGGGCCCTGTTTCTCACTGGTAAAACAGAGTTGATGACACCTGTATCCAGAATTGTGATAACAAATAAGATCATATGAATGCGTCTGCCACAGTGCGGGTCAATAATAGGTCATCGACAAATGTTAGGTGATCAGGGGCCAAGGAGATAGAGCTAAAGGGACATGGTAGATGGAACAGAAGCTACTATGTCACTGCTACTAAGCCTCCCAAGTCTTTATGGGGAAAGGAGTAGGGAACTGTGTCCTTACAGCAGTAATTCCAGATGGATATTCTGCACTGTGGTCTGGGATAGGAAGGCCATGATGTGGGAATTAAGCTTTGTCTCTCCATCATATCCTCATTTCCCCTTAAGTCTTTTTTTCCTATACCTTAGTATGTGAGTTTTCCAAGATATACATCCATTGACAGCCATCCCATGCCCAGTATTATATCAATACTCTGTAAGTACTTAACTCAGGGCATCTCAAGTACTCAGGTTGCCACCTGCACTTCTTGTGCGCTCTTTTTTTTTTTAATTAAAAAAAAATGTTTTTCCTTTCATGAATGCTCATAACTTTCCCATGAGTGTAGTTCTATATCCTCGGTAGCCTATAAACTACCCAATGCCTTTTTTGAAGAACCTAAATACTGAAATATTGACTCATCTTGCTAATTTACCAATGATGGTCTTGCAGAAAATTGTGAAAAAAATGATTTTAACTGAGAAAGGTGAGGGCCATATCTTGAGTATTCCTAATTTTCTTTCAACAACCCAGTAGGAATCTGTCCTCTGAGAATGTATCTAAATCTTTTGGAAGTTACTTAGGAGAGACACATCAGTATAATTACTTCTGTTTTATAATTACTTTTAATATTTTAAAATGGCAATCTGGAGCAGATTGTAAGTCTAAGAATTCTGCCACTCTAGAATGTTCGTCTAGGCAGGGGGTTTGAAATATTATAATAATGTAATATGTAAAAAATTCCTTTATTGGGGAACTATACGCCGGGCACTGTTCTATTTCACTTAATCCTCTCTACTGCCAGATGACAGAGGTACTGCTATTACCTCCCCAATTTTACAGATGAGAAAATTAAGGGGAAAAGAAGTTTGTCAGCTTGCCAACTTTATAAGGTTAGTAAGTGTCTATGCCCAAAATTGGAATCGATGGCTTATACTCTTAATTACCCCTCTCCTTCTTGCCACGCATAAGCCTCAAGGAGCTTTGAAGTCATCTAAATGAGTTTAAAACCAAACCATAGGGGCCACTAACACTTGCTTTCGTTTCCGATCTTTCTCTGGGACTCCTTCACCAATTCCTTGACCAGTCCCTAAGGGGTCATGACCTTCCAGGCTTTGCAAGGAATTCCCTAATGCAGTACCCTCTAGACACACTCTATATTTACCCTTGATTACAAGCTGCCTTGGAGTTGCTTTTAAGCTATTTAATGTGTGTATGTTTCGTCTTCCCAACTAGATTGTAAACAGATAGAGGACAGAGGTTGTATCTTGTTCCTTCTGTATCCCTTCCAGTGCCTAGAACTAGACTGGAGACGTCCAGGGAGCTCATTAAGTGTTGCGGACGGTCTCCGGACCATCCTCCGTCCCACCTCGAACCCTTCCCTCTTCCTCGGTGAGCACCTCCACTTCCCGATCCTGGGTCCCCACCCCTGCCTCCTCTCTACGTCCTTTTACTCCTTCGGGCCCCGCCCCGCCCTCGTGCAGGCCATCCTTTCTCACCCCGCCCCTCGCCTGCGGCAGAATCTCCAGCGTCCCCTAGCGACCAGGCAGTAGCCCATAGCAACCGCATCTCTGTTCCCTGACGACGGCGGCACGCAGGCCACGTCAGCGCGCCGTGGCCCCGCCCCCCGGCGCCGGCAGGCTCCGCCTCCTCGTGCCTTTTTCGCCGCCGCTGCCGCCGCCGCCGCTGCTGCCGCCGCCCGAGACTCGCGCAGCGCAGTTATGGCGGATCCCGCAGCGTCCGCGCCCCCAGCCCCGGCTCCCGCCCAGGTCCCGGACGCGCCCCCGAGCCCGGACGCAACCCCCGCCCCGGCTCCGGCGCCGGCACCCGCCGCGGACTCGGGCTCCGGGCCATCCTCGGACTCCGGCCCCGAAGCCGGCTCGCAGCGGCTGCTCTTCTCCCACGACCTGGTGTCGGGCCGTTACCGCGGCTCGGTGCACTTCGGGCTGGTGCGCCTCATCCACGGCGAGGACTCGGACTCGGAGGGCGAGGAGGAGGGCCGTGGGAGCTCAGGCTGCTCGGAGGCGGGGGGCGCGGGCCACGAGGAGGGCCGGGCCAGCCCGCTGCGCCGCGGCTACGTGCGCGTCCAGTGGTACCCGGAGGGCGTCAAGCAGCACGTGAAGGAGACCAAGGTGCGGCGGGCCGGCGGGCGGGGGCCGGGCCGGGGGGCCGGCGGGGGACCAAGTCGGCCGCTCGAGGCTTGGGCCGGGAGGGGAGGCGTTCAGGGCGCTGCCGGGTAGTGGTGCCACACTGCAGTGGGGCCGAGGTGGGAGGACAAGCCTCCGCGGCGGGGACGCTCCGGTGCAAAGTCATTGCACCAGCCCTGGGCCACCGGGCCCCGGGCTTCCTCCACGCGAAAGACTGGCAAGCCCGTGCCAGGCTGCTGCGGTGTCGGCCTCAAGATCCTGTATGTGAACCCAGTCCGGTGGGGGAACTCTTGGGGCAGGCACGCTCTCGGCTTTACACCAGTGCGGCGTTCTGCTGACCCCCAGAGCAGCTACCTACTGCATTGTGCATCCAGAAAGGAAGGCCGTGCCGGTCCGTGCAGGGAGGCGTTGTGGGCATTCCAAAACAAAAGATAGAGGTGAAAATCTCGGCAGGCATGAAACCCCAGGAAGTTCACTGGATTGCAGAATGCGTTATTATGGGTGAAGAAAACCAGCCCCTTTGTGTTTTAGCTTGTTGCCTGGTTTTAACTGCTGCGGGGAACTTTGAGTAAAATCATTAACAATTGGAGTCCTGATATTAATAGCACTGGGGGTGCAGGGAGGGATGTGGCAGCTGCTGACTGGAATTGATGACTCTCTTAAGTACAGTTGGACTTCTTGGGAAAAAAAAAATACTATAGAACCCTGGATGGAGGGGAGCCATCCATTTGGGAACCTGAAAGATTTGTCTTACCTGTGGCCATTAAGCACATAGCAGACTCCCCCGTTCATCATCATAAAACTTAAACCCTGCACCAGGGTTGGTTTGGTGACTTTTCTTGTCTTGTTTTCCCCGAGTGTGAACTCCTATCAGTAATTCACAGACATACACGCCTCTTGTATCTTTTACCCCTTTTTCATCTCCTCCTCCTTCTCTCCTGCAGGAAAACATTTCTTGGCAAGAATCAGGCCTGGACTGTTTTAGCTGCCCGGGATGTTGAGTGGTCTGATTTCAGGGGAGGGCACTTTAGAAGTTAATCTGGGTTTCTGACCCAATGGGAGACAAAGGCGACCTGCACAAGGGGTCTGTGATGACCTGTCTGGCTGGGAAGAAGTCCCCACTCTCCAGAAGAGCCTGTGATCCATTTCCTAGTGGCAGAAGTCACCGCTGATACCAGCAGGGTCTGTTTCCCGGCCAGTACATGCTCATCCACGGGCACAGAAATCCGTGCACAGGACCCCTGCTTCCCCTCAGAAAAATACAGATCAGGAGGTAGCTTCTCTGAGTCAGAGAGAAAATGATAAGTTCACGCAAAAGTATGTGGAATAGATGACCTTTTGCCTCAGGATGCTGGTTAAAAATTACTACCAGTATTGTTGGGAATTCAAGATTTTTTGCTCTATACGCTATGTTTGTGTATTATCATACTAGCGAAGGTTGTCACACTGGTGACGGGTTGCCAGCATCTTTCCGTTGGTTTTTAACATTTTCCCTGACCATCTCCTCTAGGGGTTTGTGACTTCTGGGATGGAGCTCATTGGACTCTGTCAGAGCCTCCTGCCCTGGGACTCAGGGAGGCAGGCCCGGCTCACTGCTGGGAGCTGCCATGTTTATCAGTTGTTGTTCCTGTTCATCTTGACTTTGGTGGTTAACTTTGTTTACAGTTAGGCTCAGTCTGTCTCCTCCCACAATGTGTAATTATATGAAGTTTGACTTAAAATAATCTATTTTGGAATTAAATAGAAGATAAGTTTAAGGTCCTAGGTTGGATATATTTTGAAGCTGCCCTCTTATGACTTGCTTTGAATTTGGTGAAGTCCATTGTGGCTCCAGTGGTGATGTTTTCTTTGCCATTGTAGTTTCTGCCGCTTCTGAGCTTGGCAAAGGCCCAGGGACATAGGATTCTAGGATGGGGTGACTCGTAGTGCCCTTTCATGGATGGCAGGACCTAGTGCTTCTATCAGGATTTGAGAATAGGTTTATTGGCGGGGAGGAGGAGAGTTTATACCTGGTAGGTAGCTCTCTATTCGGAGAAGGCAGTGGCACCCCACTCCAGTACTCTTGCCTGGAAAATCCCATGGGCAGAGGAGCCTGGTGGGCTGCGGTCCATGGGGTCGCTAAGAGTCAGACACGACTGAACGACTTCACTTTCACGCGTTGGAGAAGGAAATGGCAGCCCACTCCAGTGTTCTTGCCTGGAGGATCCCAGGGACTGGGGAGCCTGGTGGGCTGCTGTCTCTGGGGTCGCACAGAATCAGACACGACTGAAGTGACTTAGCAGCAGCAGCAGCTGTCTATTACCGTGAACCACAGGCACAGATGACCCTGGTCAGCTGAGTGTCTCACTCGTTCTGTTCCTGAGCTGTTGCTCCTGAGCACCCACTGGGGTGGTGGGGTGGGGCCTGGGACTGTGTGACATTATGGTTTAGGAAGAGTTTCCCTCTCACTTCCCACTCCTAATATACCCGTCGAAGTGACAGTGTGCTGTTAAGACCATTTGACCAAGACTGAGCTTTTAGGTTCTGATTCCTACTCCATCACTAATCTGGTTATGAGACTTGAGAACCCAGTTATTGATAGGATAAAGCAGTGACAGTCGTGGGAAACTTTTCTTTTTAAAGCTGTCACCTATTGCCATTTTATAGTGTCCTTTTAATGTGAATTGTTTGGTAGGCTGTGGAGTGTTGTAGTTTTCATGTTAATATGGCAGACAATGAGTACTCTTCGTTTCCTAATTTAAGTTTTTAATGAGCAAATTGAGAAAGAGATGAAGAGGCTGGTCAACAAGTCCTATCCCCTCCTGGCCACTGCCATGAAAGTTATCAACAGAAAAATAAGTCGTTCTTCCTGGAAACTGCAGGATTTATGGTCCGACTCCTGAGGCTTCAAGCAGCCAAAGTTATAAGCTTCTTTAGGACTTAAAAGAGGCCTGCAATCTGTGCTCCTTCCTTTCCTTGCGCTCCTGACCCCTTCAGTGTGATAGCTGATTTATCCACTTGAGACTCGTCCCATTTGGCCATGGATCTCCTGTGTGGACACTTCGCCCTTCCCATCCGTGGTCATCCTTTGAGTAGATTTTTGGGATGAAGCCGAGTGCTGACAGCCTCTTGCCCTTCTTGAGCATTGGCTGAACGTGGTGGGTCATTCTGGCCTTCATTCTGGCCTCCACCTGTCGTGGTTGGACAGAGCAGCCCCTGTGAGGAAGCGTGTCAGCTGCTGTTGTCTGAGCAGGTTTAGGGCCTTTCTATTTCCACTCCTTTGCTTTCCCGTCTCTTGTGCGTTGTCTGTGCCTCTTAGTTGCCACGGTTTTCGCGGTCTGTCTGTTCATGATCACCCTCCTTTTGTGAGGTGGTGTGTGTTTGCGTGTGTGGCATTCCTGGTGACAGGTCCCTCTGGAATTGGCTTTTGGGTTTATTTTTGGCTCCTACTCAGGCCAGTATTTCCATGGGGAAAGCTATTTAGATGTAGCATCATAGCGTGTGAGATTTGCTTGCCTCGCTGGTCCAGTGCTGGACCCATTAAAAGCGATTGTTCTTAGTGATGTAATAGGAAGAAGTTACGTAAGGTTAACCAAGGTGTAGGACTGAGTGCATCTAATTGCATTTTATTCAGGTAGGATCACGGCGCTGTGGCATCTCACCACTATTCTGTGATTTTAATCTTTGTCCCTTGGCTTCTGGTTTCTAGCTCCTAGGCCTCAGTGTCTTCCTGGTTTCTCTGTCTGGCCCACCGCCTGACTCAAGGGCACTTTGACCAGATGAGGGACATGTGTTTGCGTCCTGTGATTGGAAGTAAAAACTCTTGGGTGCTCTTGCTGGCTGTCACCTACTCTGAATGACCTTGGCCTCGTCACTGCCTCCTTTTCTCTGTCTGTCTTTCTAGCCACTGAACTGAGCCTGCACAAGTGGAATAACCAGAAGCTTAGCTGGGTGGTGCCCGGAGCAGCCTCTTGGCTGTTGGCAGACACTATCTTGATGTCCATCAGCCAGGGCCAGCTCCGCCCCTTCAGGAGATCACGTCCATGTGTCACAGGGTGATGCTTCTCCACAGAGAAGCCAGAGGTGCGGTTTTTTCCAGTGTTGTAGGAATTCCTGTTTGATGATGTTGCAGCTTATGACCTGGTGGATTACACCTTTGACTTCTTCTTTAAGCCTCTATACATACTCATGATCTTCACTCTTTTGTTACTTCATAAGAAAACAGTAACACCTGGCAAAGTCTACCAGCCTCCAGGAGGGGGATGGAATGAATGTGTGTGTAGGTATATATATCTTCCAGAATCTAGGGGCAGCTGTTGAAATACCCAAAAGACAGGAAATGAGATTATGAATTACAAGGATGGCAGAGTATTGCTTTTGTATGTAAAGATTACATAATGCCTGTTCTTATTGTGTTACTGTGTGCTGGGCACTTGATAAGTGCTTTATGCGTATTGCTCACTTATGTGTACAACATCCCTGGGAATTAGGTACTATTATTATTATTTTAGAGGAGGAAGCCGAGGAACAGAATAGTTGTGTAACTTATCCAGTCACACCGATAATAGCGGAGGAACCCAAATACAAGTGGAGGTAAATATAGTTTGCCATCACCTGAAGTTTCATAGGTTGTTACTAGAGTCGAGTACCCCCATCAAACATGATTCACTAGCCCTGTGGTTGGCATTAATCATCCAGTCTTTTCACACTTGGATGTCCTGGTGGAGTGGGAGGGAACCACAGGCGAGGAGAAAGGGCAGGGTGTTGGGATGGGGGGAAGGTGGACCAGTGACCACAAGGGAGGCCATCTTGGCCAAGAGCAGAAGTGGGGGGGGAAACACCCTGTTTGCGCTACAGGCTGCTTCCTGCCTATATCTGTCATTCATTCCCTAGCCCCGTGGTCATTATCCGAACAACTGTCAGAAGACACTTTATTTCTAGAGAACCTTCGAGTACACCTAGGTGTTGAGTGAAAGAAACCTATGCAAGTCTGATTCCCTGCCTGC